TCCATGGAGAAGCATCCATGGCTGAGAGCAGAGAGAACTTTGCACTAAGGAGGTTTAATTTTATTTCAGATTAAATGTTGTCTGTCCAGTGGCTGAACAGGATACATGGAATAAAGATGTGACTTGCAACTATTGCTTTTTATGAGACAGAAACATCGTCAGAGCTCTTTAATTACTCTCAGGAGATCCAGAACATGCAGGAACATATAAATGAGAAGAGTTAAGAGTGGTGTCTCTACATTACTCACTGCTGGCTTCACTCCTAGAGGTTTACTGCAATTGCAACATATCACGCTCTTAAATTAATCGCCTGTGTGCTCAGTTTAACCAACTCCAGGTCACCTTTATCCGCAGAATCCACGCAGCCCCCCTCCAGCCATACTCCCCAATTCCCAACCTGAACACACCCCCAGGTGAGAGCGTAGGCCTTCCATGCAGGAGCGGTGGGGGGTGCTCGCACTGTGCAGTGGGCTGTGCAGTGGGCTTCAGATAACGAACCAGAACCCACAAGTCTGTCAGTTTGACTTACGGCAGAGGAAGTGTGAACATTTAGCAGGGCGAAAAGAAGGCTGGAAGACCACGTATCAGATATTACACGATTAGCAGTTACACAAGCTGTTACTGAGCCCACCGTAACGGTGCTGTGAACCAAAACTCCAATGCTACAGGCACAGGAAGCTGATATGAGACGCAAGATAACCCCAAGCTGTCCGAACAGCCACTCCTCACTAAAAGGAAAGGCGCAGATAAAATGCTGTCATTTAACGGATCCATAAGCGCTTTGTTTTACTCCTGACAAACATATAATTTCTGCTTCAGCTCCCATGTATGGACTTTTTAATCCGAAAAGCCAAATTGGATCCATACAGTCCTCCGTCCATTCCTCCCTCATCACGCGTTCACAACTTTAAACACAGTTAAAGCTTCACCAGCAGCCGGTACGTCCTGCCACACTGGAAGTGAGCAGTCGACATTTGAGTGAGCAACCCCCCAAAATACAGGGCATCAGTCTGGTGGTTCTCTGCTGCCCCCTACAGGTCTCAGCCTTCAAGGACACCTGACAGGAGAGAGGTCTCCCATCATCCCTGGGGCTTTATACACAGGCATTGCTGTCATATCTCCACCCCAAAATTCAAATAAATCCAATTCTCTCTCCTGTTTTTTGTAACGTTCAGCAATGCAGGCCAAGTGCCAAAAATGGGGCTGATTTTGGTTCCACTCTCCTGTCTGGAGGAATTGTGGCAACTCTGGGGACAACTGTCTCTCCTGCAGCTGTCCTCACATTGCATGCCTCCATCATCACAAACTCTGAGCGCCGGCTTTCAGTGAGCGTGCGTTTCTAAGTCCTCCAGTGATCCGTAACGGTCAGCCGTTTTGGCCCTCTGCCTGGTGGCCGTTGAGGGGCACTGCACTCACAAGCGGATGCTGAAGCTCAAAAGCTCGGCTTGCAGAACATCTCAACATTTCCAAAGACAACCCCTTATACATGCTTTCAAATTATTAAGGTGATGATACACGGAGCAACTTTTTGAGCAATGTTGCCAAGTAATTGCCAAGCAGGTGAGACAAAGGGCAACTCATCTGGATCATCACGAAAAGTTGCCCACTTCCGAGCAAAGTGCCCGGCAACACTGGTCCGCAACACTGGCAGGAAACACTGGTCTGCAACACTGCCTGGCAATGTTGCTCAGAAAGCGGTGCTGTGTATCATCAGCCTTTGAAACAACTGGATGACTTTGTATTTCCAAACACTGGGCGTCAGCACCTGTCCAAAGAAATATTTTGAGCAGCAGAAGAATAATCTAATCTAGGAAATCTCAGCAAAGCTAATCTAGGAAAACAGCTACATCTACATTGAGGTTCTTAGATCTTCAGGAACCAGGATCCACACAGTCCTACTCCTTGGGGGGCAAAATCAAGGCCCTGGGGCAAGGAGATCCCAGGCGTTAGAGGAGTGGGACACGGGGCATGCTGGCAGTGAAACTCCAGGTCTCTCTGAGCTCTCCATTCTGGAGGGAAGCCACGTCCATCCTGGGCTCTTCTCCAGGTCTCCCCCCACCTAGAAGCGCTGGTCTTGACTGCTCCCTCCTGCTCCCACTCAGCTCCGCAAATCCATGTGGGAATTCTGAGGAACATGGGACCGAGTCCAATATAATATCTCTCTCCGTCCCCCGACAGCTGAGATTGCGTAAATCACAGTACCCGCCAAACGACTGGGAAAATGCAACAAACGTGGGATGTTGTTTTTCCCTCCTTGATTACGTATTGAGTTCAGGGAGTGCCGGCTTATTGTAAACACGATGTATGATGGGAAATTAAACAGACTGCAGTGTTTGCACAGGACTGAGATAATGGGCTTTGACCAAAGCCCAGTGCCTTTGGTTGACATAGGTGATCGGCCAGGGAATCGTATACTGGGGGGAGGCGGCAACTTAACCCCCACTGGTGCCACTCATTCCCCACCCTCCCTGATAAGCTGCACCACTGCCCACTCCAGTACGGCCAAAACCTAACAGAGGAGGATCATTGGAACCAAAATGGAGCAACAGAAATATTACAGTCTGGTAAAGCACTTTGGTCCACAGGCTTGTGGATCTGCTTGGCTGTCTCTTTCTGGCCCGGTGGGCACCGGCTGCCTAACTGAAGAGCTTCACACACAGGCGAGATGAGAAGGGTGTCGGCCTCATGCGCGATCACACAGCAACGAGGGCCTGACACGGCCAATCTGGCATCTTCCAAGTCCACAGTCCCTCGACGACGTGCGTGCCCGCCCTCTGCAACCCTGGAGCCCGCGGCCGTCAGTGCGGTACATGGGAGAGATGTCAGTACCATATGCCAGGTGTGCCCATCACAGGGGCCGCCCGCCTTTCACAAACGTGGGTGACATCCACCGGTGTCTTTGGCCACTGGCCCTGACCGTGACAGACGGTCTGGTGTCACCACTCTCCAGTTTAAACAGAGGCCGTCTGGCACATCACCAGAGCTGTAGGTGTGTCCCAGGACATGCAGGTAAGTCACTAAAAATACAGGACTCTTCGGACGCCAGGAGTGAACCTGGAACTAAAATCAGAAGAGATTTGAGTCCAGACCGAGAGCATAACCAACTCAAGGCACGAAGGGGGTGGATCTTAAATTCCAGTGACATTCAACAGCCTGACATTCGGCCCCCAAGGAAGGGCAGCAGCAAAGCAGGAAGCCGTCAACAAGGGCAGAAAAGACCTGCAGAGAGTGGGGCCATGGGGCCAGCAGGGAGCCGGGAGGGTGCCGATTGCGCCCTCTTTTCGATTCCTGTTTCTGTGACGACTGAGAAGATCAGCTGACTGCCAGGAACCAATGAGTGACGGGGCCAAGACCCGGCATTCCATCCGGCAGGCTGGGAGCGGAGCCCAGGGCCACGGCAGAGCGGAGGAATGCCAAGCAGCTTTCTGAACAGCTGCCGCGGTTAGTCAGCATCCAGAGCGGCGCGCGGGGCCCAGAGGAAGGGGGAGTGCAAGCCAAGGTAATGACGGGATGTGGCGATGAAAGGCGAAAAGGGAATGAATGAGAGACGGAGACTGCAGCATGCCCGCCCTGTTAAAAGGCACAAAGCGCGGAAGCCGCCTCAGTGGGGGGGGGGGGGCGCTGTTAAGCTGAAGAGCGTGCGTGACACTCGCGCACAGCAGGTTTAGCGGGGCTCAGAACAAAGTTTCCACACAGCGGGGTGATAACAAGCTCACCGGCTGAGGATCTGGTCTGAAGAAGCGGTGTGGAACTCCACGTTTTAACGTAAAATGAAAGTGCCGTACAAAAGGGGGAATAGGGAGTGCTGTAATTACGCATTACCCTCCAGACCCTGGACGGTCATGAAGATGTTTCACTGGTTACGCCTCCGTCGTTAAGAGGCTAGTGAGCCAGATCGACGGCAGCATAAGGTCGCACAGATACCTCCTCTGCCCCTGCAAACACACGGTGATTCAGGGTATCGGCACCCGTACCTCAGGTGACTGGAATTCAAAGGAGTCATGCTTATGGAACGTGTGGTGAGGTTTATGTGCTCTGCTGGGGCAGGGGCTGGAGGGTGCGAGGCGGAACTCGCGGTTCCTCGCTGAGCGGCTGTGCCGGGGAATATTTAAGATCTTCTCCAACCCCTCCCAGTCTGGCTTTTCATCTGGAGGTTGTTGGCTTGGATCTCAATCTTGCTATTGAGACTTAGACTTGCACAAGTCCAGATTCTGAAATCCGGGTGTGAGGGGTTGATATGGCAATAGAGGTCAGTATTAACATGCTGATAAATAACTATATAGCTTAGAGTTTTACCATGGAAGACGGACACAACTCCTCCCTACAGTACAGCACTTCTATAGGTGTGTGTAAATTCCTGTAGCTGGGAAAATGGGCCTCTGTGAGCATCCAAACTCATTCACTGAAACACTCTTTGAACTGGGACACCAGTATTTCCTCCATTTCCAAAGTACCTCCAATAAATCAGTGAAAGAGATGCAGAGTTTGTCACCGATCTCAACGTGATCATTCTTCCTGAAAACTCCCAGAGGCCCTTGCAGCAATAACGTATTTGGAGAGTAGATTTATGGCGTGGCACACTTACCCGAAATCTACTAATATTATTGTTTCAGTGGGGGGGGGGAACCCACAACCATGAAAGAGCGTGGTGAATGATGGAGTGGGAATCTCACGGGGATAAAGAAATTCTCCATCCGGATCCCCCCACACTGAACGACAACAACGATTTTTTCACCCACACAAACGCACACCTCTCGCTTTGCATCTGTGCGTGTTTCCCTAACCTTGAAGGGACGTCGGCCATCTATCTACAAGTGCCAAGGAGTTTGTTTGCTCTGGGGTGGAGCTGGGAACCATAAACTGTGTCGAAGTGGCACAATCACAGGCATGCGCTCAAGTGTGAAAGCCTTTTCTCATCGACGCGTCAGGACGAGAGAAGAAGCAGGGAGCAGAAACATCACGGAGAATGGGGAGAAAGACTACAAACCGATGACAAGGAGTACAAAAACAAAAAGCATTTTTATTTAAGTCAAATTTTCCATTTTCCATTTACATGCGCTCATAGATATTTCTAAAATCTGATTCAACACGCATCAGTCTGGAGGCTGATTTTCAAATTAATATCATCCCACTCGTACAGAAGGAAATCAAAAACTATAAAAAATAATTAAGAAATCTGCGACATAAACAGTGTATCCTTTGCAATAATCTCCATTGTCCGGGTACCTTTCATTATGACATAATTTAAAATGATATTTTTTTTCCCTTGGCATGAATCCAAGACTGAAATCCTGACAAGCAGAGAAAACAACATTAAATATCAGATCGGACAAAAATAATGTAAATTTTAATATCTATATATTTATTTTCAAGTCAAATTACTCTCCCTCTCATATATGAAAAAAAAAAATTAACCAGAAATGTTACGCAACAATAGCTGCCACAGGATCCATGGTCTTTTCTGAAAGCATTAAAAAATCTCCAGCTCTTTAGTTAAAATTTTGGCACAGAAAAGACTGAGTTTAGCAGAAACGTTTTCGTTATAAACGGATGGAGCCGCTCTGTATGGATGTCAAACTTTACTGAAGACATTCTGCATGCTGCTTGACAACACTGTCTCCCAGAAGCTTCCGGAGGCTCTACTGCAGCATGGCTTTGATGTTCTTGGAGGTAGACTCGTCGTTCAGGTGCTTTGTGGTGTACCTGTAAAGAAAACCCACAAAAATCGAACATCGATCCAGTTAGGGAAATTAACAGATCCGATTCCTCTGCAAGACGAAGCTCATGGTCTAAATGTGGCTGTATCTCAACAGCACAAATTAGCTGAAACACGGTGTGGTTTTAATCATAAACCACAGGGACATCAAACCATAGAAGACGCATTTCCACATTCGCCGTCCTGCGCACAGAGAAACGGCCCATGGTTATTCTGCCCTTTAACCTTGTCTAACACCCATATTTGGCCAACCAGCCCTCACCCTCCCTGTTATCATCCCTCTGCGATCATCTGAGTGGTAAATCTTCCTCTTTATTAACTGAGAACTTTGCAGAAAAGGTCATTCAGTGAACGAGTTCCTGTGTGGAATGTTAAACGCCTGAAGGATGAAATTGCATGTTCCGCTGCGACGGGTTGCGGCAGTTGGCTGATCACAGACCTGAGCGCATTCAGAAGGCCTTCCACGCTGTTCCGGGGCTGGTCGCGCAGCACTTTAATGCATCCTCGCATCTGTGGAGGAACGCAGCTGTTAGACGGCCGAGCGTCCATAACAGCGAAGTGTGTCAGGTGACGACGGACTCACGTCGATCTTGGAGCCCTTGGCAAAGGCGCCGACAGGGTGAACAAAGTCGTAGAGAATGATGACCCCCACCATGACACGCAGGCAGAAGGAGGCAGTCTCCTCGCTGGCAAAGCGGCTGCGATATTCGCTGTGTGAAGGGAGAACATAGAGAATACTGTCATGCAAATGCAGAGACACAGTCACGCAGACACAGTCACACACAGACACACAGTAATACACAGACACACAGTAATACACAGACACAGTAATGCAGACACACACAGTCACGCAGGCACACACAGTAACAGACACACAGTCGCGCAGATGCACAGTCGCGCAGACACAAATCACTCAGATGCAAACACAGACACAATCACACAGATGCAAACATACACTGTCACACACAGACACACAAACAGACACACAGTCATGCAGACACAGTTGCACAGACACACACGCACACGCAAACACAGACAGATACAGTCATGCAAATGCAAACACACACAGACACAGTCACACAGATGCAAACACACACAGTCACGCAAACGCAGAGGCACACAGACACACAAATACAGACATACATCGATGCAAACATAGGCATGCAGAGACGCAGACACACGCATATGCAGACAAGCATAAATACATCCACAAATATGCACACGTGCAACACACCATATGGAGAAACAGACAAACATGCACAGGTATTTATACAAATATTTGCACAAACATGTATATGCACACTAACATTGTGACACACAGACACACACATGCAGGCGTGCACAAACACGCTCGACCCCTTGTGATGTGCCGGAGGACAACAGGTCTGAGGAGGCCAGAGGAGGTGAGGGGAGGGGAGGACACACTTACGGCGTCTCCAGCATGATTTTGCACACACTGGCCATGGTGCTCAAGCAGTCTGTGGTGTTTTCTATAGGCAGGTTCTTGTTCTGTTCAGAACAAAAATTGTGTTGCTTAATCTGCATCCAACAGCGATTAGGGTAGTTAACTTGGCACCAGATCCATTAAAATACCACAGGATGACAGCCAGATGGTCTGCTAGAAAAAGCCGAGGACCACCTGCATAGTGGATCTATCCCATCATGCCGTGCGAGGCACCAGAGGGTTGTCATGACTACATCCGAAACGTCACAGCCACAATCAGGTACAAACAGCGAACAGGTGCTGTAAAGCTGGCACTTACTTCTGATACAAATTTTGTTGTGGCATCACTTAATGTCTTCAGCATGGGCGTGGCCTCCGCATAGAAGAGAGACATCCGATTGGCCAGCTCGTTGTTGACCTCATTTTCTCCCTCAGCCTGAAATCCGAAGAGGGCTGAGGGTTTAATGACACTTTCACAGCTCAGGTTGAGATTCCACTTCCCATTTCAATAATGATATAACAGCTAATCACGCTAAATGACTCCATCAAACACAGTCATTTTATGGTCCGATGACAAGCCTATACATCATGTGATGCTATACGCGGCGAATCACAAAATGGGATTAAGGCACATGATGGAGAAAAGCCCAGCTTTTCGAGCTGGGGGGCTGTTTGAGGCCTAGGAGGGCGTGACTGAGCTGTAAATACAGTAGCAGAAGCTCTCTAAAGACTTCAGCAGTGGGTCTGACACAAGGAAACACAAGGAGTACCCTACTGAAAAGAAAGTGTTGGTTATGCTGGTTGACCAATTTATGGTAGTTGGCCAGCTTAAGGTGTTTTCTTATGATGTTTTGATGGTTTATGGCTTGATCGGCTGGCCACACCACCATGACCAACCAGCTACCAAGCATTTTGGTTTGTAGCAGCTTTTTCAGCGGGGTACGAGCGTCTGCAGAACATCTACAGGCATA